GGGGATATGTGACGTAGCATGGGATTTATCCCATGGTTCAGCAGGGGTTATTCATGAATTTGCTATTTCTAATCATTGGCCAGGCATACAGGTCAATGACATTGTTTTATTTGATATATCATTCCATTGATTTGATGCCAATGACTGGTCATTTATCATTTGGCTCTGACATGTCAATTGTGGGGACCAAAATGTTCAATGACCAGGACCAGTTAATGAATAAGATGAAATTGTATGGGAACCGAAAGGATGTGGTTAGAAAGGAATGTAGATCTAATGCTGGGAGGTTTCTTTATTAGTATGCTTTGAAAAGAGGAGAGGCAGTTATCACATGGACACCTAAGGGCGAATAACTCCAACCAAGTGGGACTTAGGTTGTAATCATATGTGTTCACAGAAATAACAGCCAAGTGGGACTTGGGCTTTGCTTTACGTTATATGAATTTTACTACATTTTTGAAGATTAAATAGCATAGAACATTACGCTACCGTGTACGTATATATCATTCTGTTTGCTTCCGGACCGGACTATTGGACTTCGTCACACTCCTATAATCGCGGACATATATATGGAAAACTTTAAGTACATGGCGTTAACAACACCACTTCCCCCAGAGTTCTGGTATAGATACGTAGATGAGCCATTTACGAAATTACATCGAGGCCGAATTGAAGAATTTATGGACCACATTAACAGCATCGATCCTGACATTCAATTTACTATGGAACAGGAAGAAGTCATGAAACTTCCGTTTTTGGACACATACACACATGTTAACGCAGACACTTCAGAAAACTAACACACACTGACCAATATCTAAATTTTCAATCGAACCATCATCTAGAACACAAGAGATCAGTGCTACATTCTTTATTATACAGAGTAGAGAACAGGACCCAGCCCTATTTTAAAAAAACAGTGCGGGGTCGTGTATTGAATGTGATATGTGCGGAGAAACATATATCGGAGAAACCGCAATCATTAGGCATACGTGTCAAGGAACATTTAAATCAACGTGTTGAAATACTTTCAGCGGTAGCGGAACATTGTAAAATCACTGGTCACAACATTAATTTGAATAAAATCAAAGTACTAACTAAAGAGACCAATTCATTCAAAAGGAAAATAAAAGAAGCTATGGAAATTAAAATGAGAACGCCACCATTAAAACAAGATTGCGGATATGCATGATGTACAACCCATATACAATAGCCTGCTACGTCATCACACGAACATCAATGCTGACGTGTCAGTTAACCGCCAGATTCAAACGGCTGACGAAGATGACATGTCATCGAAAGCTTCCAGAAACTAAACTATAACTCTGAATGGTAACTTACACTCTTTTTCTTATATATATGGTATGGGTATATACTGTTATTGGCTATACTATGTATGAAATCACTATATCAACTCAAATATTTATGCCTACCAGGTTCTGTGTCTGTTGGTTGTTTGATTTTATCGTAAGCATTTAATGTGTCGTCATCTTCTCTCTGTATGTTTACAAACGCTACCATTGCATTACCATGGATCTACAAAATATAAATGAATGGTGAGGACAACGCATACACATTGTGTTCATTGAAACCGTGCAACTACAGAAAAAAACCTGACGTAGAGTTTATCAACTGTAAGCACTACCTTACTATAGAAATTTATCTTACTCCATATTCATTGATTGTTTTTATTCTTTTCTTTGTCTGTGAATCTCCTGGTTCGTCCTTAGTGTCTTGTAAAATTATACGTTCTTCTCTACTGACTCTCCATTCTGAAATAATAGAGTCGATTGGAATGTTAGTTCGTAAGTACAGGGAACAGTTCACTGTTCTCTGGTAAGTATGATTATTTTGATTGCTTTTTTCTGCTTAATGCACAAACAAACTTTATTTTAAATCTGGTGGTCGTTGTCAAGTGGAGCATTAGCATTGAAGGTTCTATTCTTCTCGCAGGAAGTATTTCAATTGAAAGAACAATAATTACGTATCTTAAAACCTCGAACTGAAGCCCTGGGTGTTTTTTTTTCCTAGCGAAATTTAGGCAGTTCATGAAATAGATTATGAAAGAGTATTGTAGTACACACCTAATTTAACATGCATAGCTTTTAGCCTTGTTGAAAAAGGTTGATCCATAAACATTGCATTTAGTAATTTTTGTTTCACTTGTAGTAGAGTATCGCAACTTTTTACTTTCACTAATTCTTGCTTCACTGTTTCTCCATTGACAATCAATTGCAAATACTAGAAAATATATGAAATTGCTATATTAAATCACATACAAATCATCCATAAGCCACCACTTTTGTTGAATCATATTCACCTTAACAATTTTTGTTGGCAAATAGGCTTCTCATTTGTATTTATATTTATTAGTAATGTACCACATCAAAAGCTATGGAAGTAGTGGATTGTATTTATTACTTTGCGAACATACGCCGTTAAAACGGCGCAACACACAAGGGTGGTGCATTCAACTTAATCATACAAATATAAACATAACTAAAGGTGAAACACACATGATCTACAGAAGCACTGACCACATTTTTATAATAATAATAATAATAATAATAATAATAATAATAATAGTGTAGCTTTATATAGCACCATATCCATCTAACATAAGATGCTCAGGGCGCTTGATATGTGGACTAGGAACTCAATCAATTTTTGATGTAGTAGGTTGATACATTTAATTGTTTAGCCAGAGTAATTTTAAGTAATTGTTAATTACGATGTCTTCTCCAGTGATGTCACTGGGCAGCAAATATTTCTCATTCATTGAATACTGACAATGATGGTGTACAGCATCTACAACACCGCTTTCTATCCTTGTCCTGATGGCCTCAACAAGCTCGTACAAAGGGCTTGATACGAAGTCCTACAAAGAGAGACACTTATTAAAAAATGCCTGTACACATCATTGAATAATAACCGAAAGGTCTACTGACTAATCACAGATGAGTAAGCATAACACATTCTCCAAGTATTGAAATGCACGCCATTGTGCTGGGATTCTATATTTCGACATTAATTATGTCATCATCAATTCATAAATGTCATTCTAGATGATGACATAATTAATGTCAAAATATTGAATGCCAACACGATGGTGTCCATTTCAATACTTGAAGTATGTATTATACTTTCTTATTGAATAATAATTTAACAAAATAGTCACTGTCATATAATATATATAATACGAGAAATATAGGCCTAATTGATTTTCAGTCAAACATCAAATTGGTTTTTAATAATTAAAGAAATAAATTTGGGATATATAAAGTAAAGTATACCATCATATATTTGTACATGCATAAAGCCATCCAGTGAAAAATCAATGGTTCTACCACTGTCTCCGTTCTGTAATCATAGACAAATAATATGTCACTGTTAAAATAATTTATTTATAACTTTTAAATTAATATCAATTTAAAAAAAAAACAGTGTTGTTACACTGGTTTTTTTTTCTAAAATTAGTAAAATGAATTAAACCTATGTAGATATACCTGTTTAGAACTTGCTTTCTTTTCTTTAAATTCACCATATTTTCAACATGTTTTCTCAAAAGAACTTCCAATACACTGTAAACAAATCAATTACAAATAATAATGCATTTTTGAATGTTCGTCTATAGTAAATTATATTTTTATTATATATAATTGTATTATATACTTTTAAATTAACAATAATATATAATGTTAAGCATAATAACTTAATACCTTCTATGTGCATTATTCAATATAAACTAAACTAAGGTATAATACTCTAAATATAATATAATTAGGCATGAATTATACATACTCAATTAAATGTTCAATTTTGTTGTCATTAAGCATAGCCATTAAGAACAACGCGGCAAAATTTTGTCTGAAAAAAAAATTATCGTAAATGCACAGTATCATTGTTACAATTGTTATCACCGAACATACCATTATCAATAGGAATTTATGTTATTGTTGTTAAAGAAATCCAGGGGTGGCACCAACGGGGGCCAGAGTGGACATCTCCCCTCCCCACCCCCCTCCGTCCGACAAATCCTGGCGCCACCCCTGCAGAAATTAGCAGTGAAAAACATGAGGTCATCATTAACTCGGGCAAAGAGTTGAAAAAAGGTTAACTCATTTCATTTCATAATGTAGCTAATAAAATTATTTTTTGTAATGATAAACATAAGTTTGCTGAATTTACCTCTGAAATCTAGTTACTGAAGGATCCTCATCAAGAATCTCTACAACTTTTAATACAAACTGTTTATCCAAAAGCAATTTTGATAATTTGAGCAAACCGTCGTCAATTTTTTCAAGTGCATTCTAAAACAAAAAAAAAATATAACAAAATGTTTATGACAACTAAGAAGTGATTAAGCTTGGTTTGCATACCAAATTCATAAATTTTCACTTCACAATTAAAATGCAACAAAAAAATATCAAGTACAGATTAAAACTACAAAGTTGTGCTTTATTAATTTCTAAAATGATTGTGGATTAATCTTACATATCTACTTTCTTCCATTACTTGTGGAATCCTCTTGCAACCCTTGAAGAGCATGTTGTGTACATACTGCCCTCTAGAGTAGAAACATTTCTGTACTTTTTGTTGTCCATTCTGAATTATATCCATGTAGCCTGCATTGGGGTCCCCTACAACTACGTTCACCTGATCTAAAACTGTAGAAGGTCCGCATTTAAAAACGAAAAATTGATATTCATAGACATATTGATACAATGTTCTCCAGAGAATCAGAGATAAAGGTTCACTTTCCACTGAAACAAACTTCCCACAAATTAAGTCACGCTAGGGGGCCTGAATCGGTATTTGAGCGCAAAATCACTGAGTGCTATACCATGGAGGAATATATGCTTCCAATATAAAAACATATATCTACCTACCTTGTGTAAAAATCTTCACTGTAGCTTCATCTCGTTGTCTGCGAATTGACCTTAATCTAAGCCAATTACCAACAACAGACAATAAGATGATGATTGCACCAACACCAACCACAACAATAACAATGATAACAGTGCTTGACACACTGTTCACTGGATATCTTATTGGGCCAAATGTTACAACTAGATTGCCTTGATAAATCTACAAAATGAACAACCAAAAACATACTATGGGTTATTTGACTACATTATTAATGACAGCTATCACTATCCACTGTCATTTATGTCTTCGAAGAGTATTATATTGTTCTATTTTTCCTAATTTTTTCTAATGGAGTCATGCTATCTAATGATTTTTCTTTATTATTTAAAGTTAATGGACAAACATGGAATATATATAAGTAATCAAAGACACTAGGTTACAAACTCAACATTTTATTTTGCACTAGAGACTGTTTCATGAGGGCACAGCCTCAATCATCAGGTGATCGGCTCGGCTCGGGATATATATCAATCGATCAATCAATCAATAACTAATTTATTATATATATCACAGCTTCCAACTTACCACGACAAGAGGATGATCTCCACCATTTACTGCATCAGGTTCCTCTTTTGGTGCCTCTGCAACAACTGACGTGTTAGCTACTGAGAGTACATTGCATGGAATCTCACCAACATACACCTTTACATCACTGACATCAGTGGCACTTAGATCTATGCCTGATCCCTATGGGGAAAACATGTTACATGTTAAAAAGATTCAAGGAAATGGCAAATTCCATAAAAGATTTCCAGCTGATTTTCTTTAACTGTGGAAAAGTTAATAAGCCAATTTGTAGTTAGAACTACGCAAGCCTGTATTTCAAGGTCTGCCTACATAAACCTATGTCTGTTTATGTACTGGTACTGGTATGGGCATTTATTATGCGCCTCTTCCTTTAGGTTATAAAGTGCACTTTTTTCCCTGGTCATTGGGTCCAAATGCTTTAAGTGTTTCTGCTGGTAATCAGCGTAAAAGCAGGCAACCACACCATGTACCCATTTAAATACTCCTGGGTGGAGAGAAGTACATGCAGATAAAGTGCCTTGCTCAAGAACACTAGCGAAACAATTGAAAGCGAGGGATTGAAACCTCGACCTCAAGGTTGAAACTAAACAGTTCCCGCTGCGCCAAACTGTTTCCACAATGATCAATTGATCTTGATGTGGGCATATGCAGTTTGAATTGGCTTATTAAATATAAGTTAATGTGTTTATCCACCATTAATCTAAGGTATTATTTGTTTGAACACCGACAAGGAAAAACAACATAGTCTACCCTCAATTGAATTAATGTAATATCACGTTCTAGTATGTAAATTCCATCTTCTACCAGTTGTCCATATACTGTCTTACTACTGAAGGGATAGTAGATAGGATCAGGATAAATTCTAAATTCAGATTCACCACTCGATTCAATAACATAGCCATCAAACGAAAAGGTCAAAGGTAATGCAACATGTGCTTGTCGTCTGCTACGCTGACCTGACGAAGAGAGTTCTGTGGGAGGACTTTTACAATTCATATTCTCATTTGATACAACTTCACAATTCTGAAAAGAAAAGAAACTAAAATTACTCAATTTACACTTCATAGTAAAATTTTTGTGTTCTGTGTTTTAATGGACAAATAAAGTTTGATTTGATTTGAAAAGTATATTGAAGCTTTCCCACTGTCTATGGGTTTTCCTATTAAGAAGATTGAGAATCTTTTCTATTCCATTCTACTGCTTCCTATTCTAAATTGTATTACATATTCAATTATCTTTAGCACATTTACAATCTCTTTGGCCTTAAATGCAGCTGATATAAACAATATTACTGCTAAAAATATTCAACTAAAATACATTAAAACATTGTTTTTATATCCTACTTTCTTCGTGCATGTTGCATACTTTAAAAAAAGCGAAACTCCAAAAGAATCACTATTAACATATGATGAAAGTTTTAAAAGCAATTCATAATCTACTCCAAAGAACTAATCTCTAAAAACTAACGAAGCTTGGTTGCTATCTCTGAGATGTTTACCCGTTTGTTGTTCTGTCAATATTTTTCTTGATGTTGTTGGAATAGCCAGCCTTACACCCAGTGGCCAATAACACTGCAAATGAATTTGGTTGCATTTTGTAATCACCTGGTTTACTGTCATAACCAGGACAAAAGTATTTATCCTATTTTAAGAAGGGACTATGGCTGTTTGAAATTAGCGTATATTATTATTATTATTATTATTTGCTTGATTCTCATCTCTTTAAAAAAAATTAATGATATAATAAACAAATAACAAGCCAATATGAATTACTTGAGATTGAGGGACATATTTCTAGGTGCCCTCTTAGAAACTAATTTCCACGAGATCTTAGATTTTCTTACTGCTTTAGCTGATACACCATTCACTAGCATCTTGGCTTCTTGCACATACTGAAAATGTATCCCTGTCACAGTAATCTTACGACCACCACTGAAAGATATCAAACTTGAAATCAACATCTGCCTGTTTTATTGTAGAAATAGTAATGTAGGCCTACAAAGCATTTTCTTATATCAAATAAATATACAAATACTATTATTGCTGCCAATAATAACAAAAAAAAAAAAAAAAAAAAAAAAAAATAATAATAATAATAATAATACCTATTATCATTATTTTTATTATATGCTATAGTCATACAATGTGGAATGTAATTCAAATAAATATTCTGCCAAAAACAGTTCAAGTGGAAATGTTGTTAGAAAGGATCAGACATTCTTACGCTTTGATACTGCTTTTCGGATTAAACTCCGTCACTCTTGGGTTGTCTGTGTACGTAAAGGTAGAAGCATCTCTTGTAGCCTGTCCAAATGTAACCGTTGCCATAACTTCTTCTTCAACTGCATAATGCGAGGTTGTACAAAGTATCTGAGTTTCAGATACACTGCAGTGAGAAAAATAAAATAAATAATTAACCAATATCAGAGAATGGATAATCAGGTGAAAAGATCCAAAAAAGAAATTTGTTTACTTACTTTTTAACATAACACTCGCTTTCACCCATAGATACCATAAGATCTCGACCGGTGTTCAAAAACATGCCGGTTATATTCACTCGTGTACCACCATGCTTGATTCCAAACTTTGGAGTGATGTCGGAAATTGAAGGATTCTGGAAAAATAAATTGAATTGAAGAAACTTTTAGCAGTTTATGCTAGATATGAAGTGTATTGTTCCACTATATGGAATAAATATCAAATATAAATATATAATAACCTGATAAACTATGTATGCTGGTCCACTTGGTTTCCCTTGGACAGATATGATGACATTTCTTCGAGAGGCAGTGCTGAAGACAGGAGCTCTACACTTAACACTAGATGTAAAAGCAAAAAATAAATGTATAAGTATAAAAACAAAACAACAATACCCAAATCAAGATACAAGCAATATACAGTATACTAATAGACAATCATTTAATACAATACAAGTAACAACTGTGTAAGTATTAAGTGAAGAACAATATAGTTCCCTCAAATCAAGAGTCATTTGAAAGCCTTACGTTTGTGAGGCTATGTTAAACCCATCTGCAATATTTTCACATTTCTTGGTATCTATCATAATGCTAGCAATATCTGAAGACGTTTGTCCAAAATCAGTTCCAACAAGTTCAATGACCTCAGTGTAATCAGGCTCAGGCTGGTTCATTACCATAGCAACTGAAAGAGGTATAACCTAATAAAGGAAAAATACCGTATCATGATTTTCGGCATCTAAAGATAATATTTTAAAAAATTTTATTATAGTTCAGGCATACAAAACATTGTAAAACATTACATTTAAAATCATTTTAAAAAAGGGAAAAAAATAAAAGAAAAGAAGACCAACTGCTATAGACAAATAACATTAGAAATTTTACACAAAAATGAATTAATATTTGAAAATTAGGAATAAAAAAAACTTCAACTTTAGAATCAACAGTTGAGGGCGATGTTTGATTATTTTTACCTGTGTAATTACAGGAGCTGGACAGTCACTTATATTTTTTAAACAGAATGAATCATATACACACTGGTCTCCACACCAGACGCAATCAAGCTGTGGTCTAGTAGTATTGTTAGAAAGACACCGGCTGCAGTCTGGACGCTGCACTGAACATTTGTACAGGGTAACTAGAAACAATCAAGACAAATATGTAAACTTACACTATCTGTGTAGTTTAAATGTTTCTTTAATCAATTCCCTACCTTTCAAAAAAATAATAATACAGCACTCTAGGCCCTGTGAGATAATAATAGCTTCCAACTGAATAAACCCTCAAATAATTGTATAATAGTGATAATTTGTATGCATAGTGACATTCTCAGTAACAGTTTCAGGTTATAATTGATTTTAAAATTATTGTCAAAGGTCAAAGGGTAAAGAAGTCAATATTCTAATAATATATCAGTAGTGAAACAAAGTCTCTTTAAACTTGTCATATGAGGAAGAAGTCCAGCTAGAAGTTGGCAGTGAGTTTCAAATGGTGGAAGTTGATGAGTAAGCCACATATGTGAGGTCTCACTACAAAATGAGTCTCATTGTTAGAAAATCAAAAAATGAGTTTATATTACATTTTGTTAGGTCACATTATAAGCTTTAATTTGGTCTTTGAATGGCATCCCTAGGATAAATAGATCCAGAGATGTTATCATTTAAAGTTTAGGTGTATGAGAACCAGGTTTTGAGAAAACTGGCCTCAAAGATAAACTAACCTGACAAACAATAGGACTAGAATTACAGAAGATAGGCAGAACACGATTTTAGTAAGAAAATCTACTTAAAAAGTACACAATTATAAAATATAAGTATCAAGTTATTCAAAAACATAAAAATCAAAATTTTGAAAAAATGTTGGCTTTGATCTATTTTGGTGAATATCTCGATATGATTTCACCAACGATAAGTCTCATTTCGTGTCTATTATCATTGAAAATTGTATGCGTACTTGTACAAAATCGTTGGCACAGTTTGAGGAGCTTTGTAGCTGGAAGTCGTTGAACGAGGTCTGTATCTGTCTCTTATACACATCTAGATGTGTATAAGAGACAGATCTAACATAAGATGCTCAGGGCGCTTGATATGTGGACTAGGAACTCAATCAATTTTTGATGTAGTAGGTTGATACATTTAATTGTTTAGCCAGAGTAATTTTAAGTAATTGTTAATTACGATGTCTTCTCCAGTGATGTCACTGGGCAGCAAATATTTCTCATTCATTGAATACTGACAATGATGGTGTACAGCATCTACAACACCGCTTTCTATCCTTGTCCTGATGGCCTCAACAAGCTCGTACAAAGGGCTTGATACGAAGTCCTACAAAGAGAGACACTTATTAAAAAATGCCTGTACACATCATTGAATAATAACCGAAAGGTCTACTGACTAATCACAGATGAGTAAGCATAACACATTCTCCAAGTATTGAAATGCACGCCATTGTGCTGGGATTCTATATTTCGACATTAATTATGTCATCATCAATTCATAAATGTCATTCTAGATGATGACATAATTAATGTCAAAATATTGAATGCCAACACGATGGTGTCCATTTCAATACTTGAAGTATGTATTATACTTTCTTATTGAATAATAATTTAACAAAATAGTCACTGTCATATAATATATATAATACGAGAAATATAGGCCTAATTGATTTTCAGTCAAACATCAAATTGGTTTTTAATAATTAAAGAAATAAATTTGGGATATATAAAGTAAAGTATACCATCATATATTTGTACATGCATAAAGCCATCCAGTGAAAAATCAATGGTTCTACCACTGTCTCCGTTCTGTAATCATAGACAAATAATATGTCACTGTTAAAATAATTTATTTATAACTTTTAAATTAATATCAATTTAAAAAAAAAACAGTGTTGTTACACTGGTTTTTTTTTCTAAAATTAGTAAAATGAATTAAACCTATGTAGATATACCTGTTTAGAACTTGCTTTCTTTTCTTTAAATTCACCATATTTTCAACATGTTTTCTCAAAAGAACTTCCAATACACTGTAAACAAATCAATTACAAATAATAATACATTTTTTGAATGTTCCCCTTAAGTAAATTATATTTTTATTATATAAAATTATATTATATACTTTTAAATTAACAATAATATATAATGTTAAGCATAATAACTTAATACCTTCTATGTGCATTATTCAATATAAAGAAAAAACAATTTAAAATAAGGTATAATACTCTAAATATAATATAATTAGGCATGAATTATACATACTCAATTAAATGTTCAATTTTGTTGTCATTAAGCATAGCCATTAAGAACAACGCGGCAAAATTTTGTCTGAAAAAAAAATTATCGTAAATGCACAGTATCATTGTTACAATTGTTATCACCGAACATACCATTATCAATAGGAATTTATGTTATTGTTGTTAAAAAAAATTCGGGGGCCAGAGTGGACATCTCCCTCCACCCCCTGTCCGACAAATCCTGGAGCCACCCCTGCAGAAATTAGCAGTGAAAAACGTCAGGTCATCATTAACTCGGGCAAAGAGTTGAAAAAAAGTTAACTCACTTCATTTCATAATGTAGCTAATAAAATTATTTTTTGTAATGATAAACATACGGTAAGTTTGCTGAATTTACCTCTGAAATCTAGTTACTGAAGGATCCTCATCAAGAATCTCTACAACTTTTAATACAAACTGTTTATCCAAAAGCAATTTTGATAATTTGAGCAAACCGTTGTCAATTTTTTCAAGTGCAGTCTAAAACAACAAAAAAAATATAACAAAATGTTTATGACAACTAAGATGTGATTAAGCTTGGTTTGCATACCAAATTCATAAATATTCACTTCGCAATTAAAATGTAACAAAAAAATTTCAAGTACAGATTAAAACTACAAAGTTGTGCTTTATAAATTTCTAAAATAATTGTGGATTAAACTTACATATCTACTTTCTTGCATTACTTGTGGAATCCTCTTGCAACCCTTGAAGAGCATGTTGTGTACATACTGCCCTCTAGAGTAGAAACGTTTCTGTACTTTTTGCTGTCCATCCTGAATCATATCGATGTAGCCTGCATTGGGGACCTCAACAACTACGTTCACCTGATCTTCTGGAGGAGAAACATTTTTTGCGGGATTTGCTAAATATGAAAGAATAATGAAAATACCTTAAAATCTGTTACAATCAGTTCAGTAAAATAACTGAAGGATTAGTACACTATGCCTACCTTATATTGTCTATATTTGTAAATCTATTTAAAATACCGATCAACTTTATTTTTGCTATAAACTCAACTAATAACGTTATAAGAAATCTACCTATAGTTTTTTTACCCCTCCTGTTATACTCCTACACTTTTAGAGTTTTTAGGTCGGCTTTACCAACCAGAACCAGCAGTGTCACTATGGTTTTTAAATATTTTTCTCTAGGTGCCCAGATATTGCACTCTCATACCTTAACAATCTTATCGGTAATTCATATCTACAATGTAATACAACAATTATTATTTTTTAAATACGATTTAGGAGTGCGATAGCACCGTCTCTACCCCCTGTATCCACGTCAGAAGAGAAAGAGCATTCCATAGTGTTGGGGCAGCACATGAGAATCTACGTTTACCCAGGTTTTCATGTCTCGACCTACCTTTATTGTTGGAGGAGATATAAAGATGGGGGTTAAGGCGGTTATGACGAACTGCCCAAAAACTGTAGAAGGTCCGCATTTAAAAACGAAAAATTGATATTCGTAGACATATTGATACAATGTTCTCCAGAGTATCAGAGATAAGGGTTCACTTTCCACTGAAACAAACCTCCCACAAATTAAGTCACGCTAGGGGGCCTGTATCGGTATTTGAGCGCAAGATCACTGAGTGCATTATACCATGAAGGAATATATGCTTCCAATATAAAAACATATATCTACCTACCTTGTGTAAAAAACTTCACTGTAGCTTCATCTCGTTGTCTGCGAATTGACCTTAATCTAAGCCAATTACCAACAACACACAATAAGATGATGATTGCACCAACACCAACCACAACAATAACAATGATAACAGTGCTTGACACACTGTTCACTGGATATCTTATTGGGCCAAATGTTACAACTAGATTGCCTTGATAAATCTACAAAATGAACAACCAAAAACATACTATGGGTTATTAGACTACATTATTAATAACAGCTATCACTATCCACTGTCATTTATGTCTACAACGAGTATTATATTGTTCTATTTTTCCTAATTTTTTCTAATGGAGTCATGCTATCTAATGATTTTTCTTTATTATTTAAAGTTAATGGACAAACATGGAATATATATAAGTAATCAAAGACACTAGGTTACAAACTCAACATTTTATTTTGCACTACAGACTGTTTCATGAGGGCACAGCCTCAATCATCAGGTGATCGGCTCGGCTCGGATATATATATCAATCGATCAATCAATCAATAACTAATTTATTATATATATCACAGCTTCCAACTTACCACAACAAGAGGATGATCTCCACCATTTACTGCATCAGGTTCCTCTTTTGGTGCCTCTGCAACAACTGACGTGTTAGCTATTGAGAGTACATTACATGGAGTCTCACCAACATACACCTTTACATCACTGACATCAGTGGCACTTAGATCTATGCCTGATCCCTATGGAGAAAACATGTTACATGTTATAAAGATTCAAGGAAATGGCAAATTCCATAAAAGATTTCCAGCTGATTTTCTTTAACTGTGGAAAAGTTAATAAGCCAATTTGTAGTTAGAACTACGCAAGCCTGTATTCCAAGGTCTACCTACATAAACCTATGTCTGTTTATGTACTGGTACTGGTATGGGCATTTATAATGCGCCTCTTCCTTTAGGTTATAAAGTGCACTTTTTTCCCTGGTCATTGGGTCCACATGCTTTAAGTGTTTCTGCTGGTAATCAGCGTAGGAGCAGGCAACCACACCATGTACCCATTTAAATACTCCTGGGTGGAGAGAAGTACATGCAGATAAAGTGCCTTGCTCAAGAACACTAGCGAAACAATTGAAAGCGAGGGATTGAAACCCCGACCTCAAGGTTGAAACTAAACAGTTCCCGCTGCGCCAAACTGCTTCCACAATTATCAATTGACCTTGATGTGGGCATATGCAGTTTGAATTGGCTTATTAAATATAAGCTAATGTGTTTATCCACCATTAATCTAAGGCTACTTGTATTATTTGTTTTATCGACAAGGAAAAACAACATAGTCTACCCTCAATTGAATTAATGTAATATCACGTTCTAGTATGTAAATTCCATCTTCTACCAGTTGTCCATATACTGTCTTACTACTGAAGGGATAGTAGATAGGATCAGGATAAATTCTGAATTCAGATTCACCACTCGATTCAATAACAAAGCCATCAAACGAAAAGGTCAAAGGTAATGCAACATGTGCTTGTCTTCTGCTACGCTGACCTGACGAAGAGAGTTCTGTGGGAGGACTTTTACAATTCATATTCTCATTTGATACAACTTCACAATTCTGAAAAGAAAAGAAACTAAAATTACTCAATTTACACTTCATAGTAAAATTTTTGTGTTCTGTGTTTTAATGGACAAATAAAGTTTGATTTGATTTGAAAAGTATATTGAAGCTTTCCCACTGTCTATGGGTTTTCCTATTAAGAAGATTGAGAATCTTTTCTATTCCATTCTACTGCTTCCTATTCTAAATTGTATTACATATTCAATTATCTTTAGCACATTTACAATCTCTTTGGCCTTAAATGCAGCCGATATAAACAATATTATTGCTAAAAATATTCAACTAAAATACATTAAAACTCCAAAAGAATCACTATTAACATATGATGAAATAGTTTTAAAAGCAATTCATAATCTAGTCCAAAGAACTAATCTCTAAAAACTAACGAAGCTTGGTTGCTAACTCTGAGATGTTTACCCGTTTGTTGTTCTGTCAATATTTTTCTTGATGTTGTTTGAATAGCCAGCCTTACACCCAGTGGCCACTAACACTGCAAATGAATTTGGTTGCATTTTGTAATCACCTGGTTTACTGTCATAACCAGGACAAAAGTATTTATCCTATTTTAAGAAGGGACTATGGCTGTTTGAAATTAGCGTATATTATTATTATTATTTGCTTGATTCTCATCTCCATAAAAAAAATGATACAATAAACAAATAACAAGCCATTAGGAATTACTGGAGATTGAGAGACATATCTCTAGGTGCCCGCTTAGGAACTAATTTCCACGAGAACTTAGATTTTCTTACTGCTTTAGCTGATACACCATTCACTAGCATCTTGGCTTCTTGCACATACTGAAAATGTATCCCTGTCACAGTAATCTTACGACCACCACTGAAAGATATCAAACTTGAAATCAACATCTGCCTGTTTTATTATAGAAATAGTAATGTAGGCCTACAAAGCATTTTGTTATATTAAATAAAATATACAAATACTATTATTGCTGCCAATAATAACAATATTTCTAATATAATACTAACAATAATAATAATAACAAAAATAATAATAATAATAATAATACCTATTATCATTATTGTTATTATATGATATAGTCTTACAATGTGGAATGTAATTCAAATAAATATTCTGCCAAAAACAGTTCAAGTAGAAATGTTATTAGAAAGGATCAGACATTCTTACGCTTTGATACTGCTTTTCGGATTAAACTCCGTCACTCTTGGGTTGTCTGTGTACGTAAAGGTAGAAGCATCTCTTGTAGCCTGTCCAAATGTAACCGTTGCCATTACTTCTTGTTCAACTGCATAATGCGAGGTTGTACAAAGTATCTGAGTTTCAGATACACTGCAGTGAGAAAAATGAAATAAACAATTAACCAATATCAGAGAATGGATAATCAAGTGAGAAAAGAAATTTGTTTGCTTACTTTTTAACATAACACTCGCTTTCACCCATAGATACCATAAGATCTCGACCGGTGTTCAAAAACATGCCGGTTATATTCACTCGTGTACCACCATGCTTGATTCCAAACTTTGGAGTGATGTCGGAAATTGAAGGATTCTGGAAAAATAAATTGAATTGAAGAAACTTTTAGCAGTTTATGCTAGATATGAAGTGTATTGTTCCACTATATGGAATAAATATCAAATATAAATATATAATAACCTGATAAACTATGTATGCTGGTCCACTTGGTTTCCCTTGGACAGATATAATGACATTTCTTTGAGAGGCAGTGCTGAAGACAGGAGCTCTACACTTAACACTAGATGTAAAAGCAAAAAATAACAAATGTATAAGTATAAAAACAAAACAACAATACCCAAATCAAGATACAAGCAATATATAGTATACTAATAGACAATCATTTAATACAATACAAGTAACAACTGTGTAAGTATTAAGTGAAGAACAATATAGTTCCCTCAAATCAAGAGTCATTTGAAAGCCTTACGTTTGTGAGGCTATGTTAAACCCATCTGCAATCTTTTCACATTCCTTGCTATCTATCATAATGCTAGCAATATCTGAAGATGTTTGTCCAAAATCAGTTCCAACAAGTTCAATTACCTCAGTGTAATCAGGCTCAGGCTGGGTTATTACCGTAGGAACTGAAAGAGGTATAACCTAATAAAGGAAAAATACAGTGTCATGATTTTCGGCATCTAAAGAAAATATTTTTTTTAGTTCAGGCATACAAAACATTTTAAAACATTACATATAAAAACATTTTTAAAAGAGTTAAAAAACTTTAGAATCAACAGTTGAGGGCGCTGTTTGATTATTCTTACCTGTGTTATTACAGGAGCTGGACAGTCACTAATTTTTGTTGAACAGAATGAATCGTATTCACAGCCATGGTCTCCACACCAGACGCAATCAAGCTGTGGTCTAGTAGTATTGTTAGAAAGACACCGGCTGCAGTCTGGACGCTGCACTGAACATTTGTACAGAGTAACTAGAAACAATCAAGACAAATATGTAAACTTAAACTATCTGTGTAGTTTAAGATGTTTCTTTTAATCAATTCCTGCAAACAACTCCCTACCTTTCAAAACAATAATAATACAGCACTCTAGGCCCTGTGAGATAATAATAGCTTCCTACTGAATAAACCCTCAAATAATTGTATATTTGTATGCATGCATTCTTAGTAACAGTGTCAGGTTATAATTGATTTTAAAAAATAAAGGTCAAAGGGTAAAGAAGTCAATATTCTAATAATATATCAGTAGTGAAACAAAGTCTCTTTAAACTTGTCATATGAGGAAGAAGTCCAGCTAGAAGTTGGCAGTGAGTTTCAAATGGTGGAAGTTGATGAGTAAGCCACATATGTGAGGTCTCACTACAAAATGAGTCTCATTGTTAGAAAATCAAAAAATGAGTTTATATTACATTTTGTTAGGTCACATTATAAGCTTTAATTTGGTCTTTGAATGGCATCCCTAGGATAAATAGATCCAGAGATGTTAGCATTTAAAGTTTAGGTGTATGAGAACCAGGTTTTGAGAAAATCGGCCTCAAAGATAAACTAACCTGTACAAATAATAGGACTAGAATTACAGAATACACGAAGAGAACAAACACTGTTTTAGTAAGAAAATTCACTTAAAAAGTACACAATCATTAAATATAAGTATCAAGTTATTCAAAAACATTAAAATCAAAATTTTGTAAAAATGTTGCCTTCGACCTATTTTGGTGAATATCTCAATATGATTTCACCAACGATGCGTCTCATTTCGTGGTGAGACCTCACATATATTATATTAACATTTGAAATATGAACATATTAGATTAACGAGACAAACAAAGGAAATTATTAAACATTTCCTTGTTCTTGACCTTTTTTTTATTGGATGTTAGCCTAAAATGACTGTCAATGTTGGTGTATTGTGCACTGTTGCTCCCTTAAAATTTGTCCTGTCAACTCCACTTTGTTATTAGCAATTCCTAAAGCTGAAAAACCGCAGCAGTTGATACTATATGTATTTATGTAAGATGATTTTTTTATCGTATGAAACTTTACTATTCTTGTTGCTATAGGTGTAGACCAATTTTCTATGAAAAAACAAAACAAAAACCAAAAAATCAGTTTTCAGAAAAAAAAAAAAAATCAGTTTTCAGAAAAGATAAACTATCACCAATCATTTGTATCCACCAATTATTTGTATAGAAAGCTAACTGGTTGGATATTAATTTATGACAATGTTTCAAGTTAGGATTGCACTTCATTTTTGTACAAGAATCAATAGGAATCATAAGTTAAAATAAGACAAATGTTAAGGCTTTAAAAGCAAGAGATGTTGTATTAAACATTTGAGGGACTGTACTCTCAAAACTACTACTGACAAAAATTTGTTTTTGTTTGTTCGTTTGTTTCTACCATATTTTTGCCAGATTTGAATGATCACTTTCCTACATAATTTCACTGTTTAGGTGGTAGTTGTTTTTAAGACCATTTCATTGTTCTCCATTGTTCAGTTAAAGTTTTTTTTTGTGCTATTGTATTTTGTGTAGTATTTATATATTTATTGTGATTTGTACGTAATATTGTGTAAGCTCAATAAAACAAATTTCATGTCTATTTTAATATATGACAATAAATCCAATCTTTAATCTTAAGTCTTGTAAAATTCAGGGGAAGAGACGTGATGTAACTGACATGTTCACACAATGTTAACTGTAACTAACTTTGGAATCTGTAAAAAAAACTATTTTTTGTCATAGAAAGTGCTGTGCAAACATTTCTCACCGACTATATTATACTTTACAACTTCCTTGTAATACTTCCTGTTACTTCTTCCGGGTTCAATGGATGTAACACATGTTAATTTTTGTCAATTTTGGTATATTTTCATTATATTATCATTGCACAAGAAAAGATACATAAACACCAATGTGATATTTTGTACCATAGATCAACATTCTGCCGCAATCTGAATGTTTATGGGATGCTGCCATAAATTACAATTCATATATTTTTTTGTTAGGTGAGTCGTTACATAATTTATCTCATTTCCAGCTGTAAAGCGCATGGAGGGTATTCACAATAATGTGCTATATAAGTTCACAATCATTATTAATATTAATACTTGTTTGGCAAATCGACATAATATAGCTTCAGAATTTTACCAGCTTTACATTTTGTTTGCATGGTTAGTGTATAATGAATCCTCTTGACTATAAGAACTGGATGCCTTTTATTGCTTTGTCCACTTTTACATGTACCCAGTATGTATCATGGCCGGCGGAAGCCCGGGCCCCCCACTTTTTGGCGAAAAATATATAATGTCTGGAAATTTTTGTATGATCGGAAATGCAAAAAAAGGAGGGAAGAAGGAGGAAAAGGATGGGAAAGAGAATGTATATCCAGTACCCGACCGAGTTACATTTTCTCACAATTCACACTGGCGGATCTGGGAGAGGGGGGTCATGGGTCCTGACCCCTCCCTTGGGCAACAAAAAAAGTGGAAAAAGAAAAGAATTCTAGACCTACCTTTTCAGGACTCGTGAGCTGATTTTTCAATTTTTTTTTTTTTTTTTTGTTGCTATTAGAAAATTAGAATTTTGAAGAACATAAAATTCATTAAAACACACTTCCAAATGTCGGGAAAGCTCAATTCCCGCCATCTAGGAATATAAATTTTCCCAGGGGAGAAACCCCGGACCACCCTTTATTTTTGGGATTTATCGATTCATGGAAAAAAGAATACGCATGCAACTACTCATTTGTTTATGTATGTATACACACATAAAATAAAAAATGAGAAAAATTTACCTGACCTTTTTCAAAAGGGGAAAACCTTGAATTTTGAAGAACTTTAAAAGTCATTAAAAAACATTTCAGAAGTGAGAAAAGCTCATCTCCCGCCATCTAGAAATCAACATTTTTCTGGGGGAACCCGGACCCCCTTTATCTTTGGAGTTCATTGATTAATTGAATCATTTCTAAAGCAGGGTGGGGGTGGGGACCTTGAATTTTGAAGAATTTAAAAGTCATTAAAAGACACCACAGAAGTTGATAAAGCTCATTTCCCGCCACCTAGAAATCAAAATTTTCCCGGGAAAGAACCACAGACTTCCCCCACCACACCCTTTCTTTTTGGGATTTATCGATTCATGGAAAAACTACGTATGCAACTTACTCAATCTTTTATGTATGTATACACACATAAGGCCTATTTACTGTATTAACAATGGGAAAAAATTATCTGACCGTTTTCAAGAGTGGAAAACCTTGAATTTTGAAGAACTTAATTACTTTTAAGTTGTTCAAAACTCAAGGTGTTCCCCTCTTGAAAATTATTATAATGAATAAATGAACCCAGAGAAAGGGAGGTTCGAGTTCTTCCCGGGAAAATGTTGATTTCTTAAATGGTGGACAATGAGATTTCCCAACTTCTGAAGTATTTTTTAATGACTTTAATTTAAAAGACACCTCAGAAGTCGGGAAAGCTCATTTCCCGCCTTCTAGGGATCAAAATTTTCCTGTGGAAGAACCCCCGGACCCCCCCTTTCTTTTTGGGATTCATCGATTCATAGAAAATTCGTATGCAGCTACTCATTTTTTTTAAATTGTTATGTATGTATACACACATAAGCCCTATTTACTGTAATAACAATGGAAAAAATTACCTGACCGTTTTCAAGATGGGAAGACCTTGAATTTTGAAGAACTTAAAAGTAATTAAAGACACGTCAGAAGTCGGGAAAGCTCATTTCGAGCCATCTAGAAATTTTCCCGGGGGAGGAATGTTGACCCCACCACCTAGATTTGATTCCAGATCTGCATGATTCATATTCACATTCATCTTCATTCATCAAGCAGTGGCATAACAGGTGGGGGCAGGTGGGCAGACTGTCCCCCCGACGGTTTTTACCGGGCTGACCAAGCCGTCGTACCGTGTTGTAAGAAGAGAAAAGAAAGCGGGGAGAGGGAGGGAAAGAAAAGAAAAGGAAAAAGGAAAAGAAAAAGAGAATAGAAAAATAAAGACAAGAATAAAAAGGAAGATATAATGAACAGATATCACAATACCCCGGCCTGCAACCCCTTCTCCACTTCAAAAAGTGTCCATAGCGCATTTGATCTAAGCCACCATATATTCTCCGCAGTGACGTAACCACCGGGGGACAAGGGGAAAATATCCATCTGTGGAAAATCTTTCCCCATTGAATGCCTTTTTCACCCGGGAAAGTGCCTGAAAACCTCAAATTTTAAATCGCATATTTTGTTGAGGTAGGCCAATTTCCTCTAAAAATTGCCCATTTTAGAGAGTTTTGATCAATTCCGACGAAATTAGAATTAAAAACAAAAATTTTTCGCGCGCTTTGCGCGCATTTTTTAATGTTAAAGCTTGTGTTTGCTCTCCTTTGCCTTCTAAGTTATAACACATGGCCCCAAACTCAAGAAAGAAAATTTAAGATAGATCGTTTTACCTAAAAGAAAGGCCTCAATGTGTAATGATGTTGAAAGAATATGTTTGTAATAAATAAAGCAATAAAGGAAAATGCTTATATTCAGTATAAAAAAACGATCGTTTTACCTACAAGAAAGGCCTCAATGTGTAATGATGTTGAAAGAATATGTTTGTAATAAATAAAACAATAAAGGAAAATGCTTATATTCAGTATAAAAAAACGAGTGTGGCCATATATAACATAAGAGCATTTCTTGTTGAGGTAGGCCAATTTCCTCTAAAAATTGCACATTTTAGGGAGTTTTGATCAATTCCGACGAAATTAGAATTTAAAACACAAAAATTTTTTGCGCGCTTCACATGCATTTGTTAGGGTTAAAGCTTGTCCTTGCCCTCCTTTGCCTTCTAAGTTATTTAAAAACATAATAGTCCCAAACTTGAGAAAGAAAATTTAAGATAGATCGTTTTACCTAAAAGAAGGGCCTCAATGTGTTATGATGGTGCAAGAATAGGCCTATGATTGTAATAAATAAAACCACGATTAAAATGCTTATATTTAGTTTCAAACACACGTGTGTGGCCTATATTAATAATAAAATAAGCCTATGCCGTATTGTTTTCTATATGGGGGTTGGGAGTTATCACACCAAGTCATAAATTACTAACCGGGAAAAGTATTACCTTTGCCCCCCCCCCAG